CATGCCTTAATTGAATAGGTTGCCGAGAGGTCACCCCGGCCTTCCCTCGTTATTGCTAAACTACCCCTTGTGACCGATGACACTGCCGCGTTGCTTCTTTAATGCAGAGGGTTTTGTGACACGTCTCCATAGGAACCAGGTTCCAATTAGCGCTGCATACAAAATAAAAGGCAATATGCGATTGGTTGTTACAGGCGAAGTCTTTTCCCTTCAGGAAGTTGGGGACATTATTATCACGCTGACCCAGTTTCCAGTTGCCGGTAGTTACGGACACCGGGGATGCAAACAAAAAGGAAAAAAAAAAAAAAAAAAGTCACCTTCTTGATCCGGCCTCATTTTCTCCATTGAAGCGCTCGGCTTCACCAGAACCACAGCGTAGCCCTCGTTGTTATGGATCACGTTGTGCTCCAGGAATATTTTGGGAAGATCGTGAACCTCGTCAATGAAGTCCTGATAACAGAAATCAAAACTTATATAAGTAATCCGGAGCCATGAAGCTAATTTGCTGATATTTTGCCTTCCCTGGCTCCTCCCCCCTCAGCAACATGCGAATGAAATGTATAAATAAAACCTGTTTTTATGACATACCTTATTTAAGATCTAATATTGTCATTGCTGGGTCTCTGTGCAACTATATGCATGCAGGCAGATCATGGCTGGTGGGAGGAGCCTGCAGTACAGCACCCTGTCTCAGTACGTCTCTTAAGAGCCCTCAGCCCTGATGCAGGGCAGTTCTTGGCTGGGTTCACAAATGTCTGACACGGATCAGCCCATGTGGCAGCCTTTCACCTTGTGATTTGCAACAAAGTTGAACATTTCAGTCTGATCCCCTTTTTTTGGTGATATCAATGTAATCCCACATTCCTTTTAAAGAGACCCTGTCACTATGCAAGACAATACAGGCACATTCCATTGATGCAAGAAAAGAAGCAACCGTAGGTGCTCTTTTACCATTTGTGCAGCATAAGGACTTGATTTTTTTAAGCAGTGGTATATCCGTGCTGTGACCGTACCAAGGCTGAGCTACAAATCGTTGCGACGCAGACTTTTCAGACTGCAGTAATGTACCATGAGTGAGGAAACTGTTGCTTCCGGCAGAGCCTAATAACTTGGGGGCTGCTTCCCCCTCCCCCTCCGTACCTTGATCAGGATGCCGTCTTTGCAGTGGTGGATCCCATTGTCCGTCAAGCTGCAGCTACTTCCGGGATAGATTTCCAGGCCGGCTCCCTGAATGAGAAAGTAGAATGAAAACCGCACAGCTGCTGGGTCAATTCTCCTAAAGTGATGCTGCAGAGGACAGTTACTGTGCGGAAGCAACGGTCTCTCCGCAGAGGTCTGATGCACCCCGTGGTGAGAGTCCGAGCTCCCCAATCATCAGCAAACATGAGCTCCAAGGTTTGTTGGGGCTCCACAGACAGACCGCTGCTTCCACACAGAAATCAAGGGTCCTTCTGTCCTGGCAGGGGACAGGCTCTTCTTCTAGATAGGCAGAGCCAGCTGTCAGTCACGCAGCTGGGCGGATCCCGGGACAATTGTCAGGATCAACTTCAGCTGCGGCGTCTCAGTATACCCCGAGCTACTGCTCGCGGTATACTGAGCTTAGGGTGACAGGAGGACGCTAGTTTGTGTCCCCCCGTTACCCTAAGGAGAACTATGGGGAAAAGCCTTAACCCCCATGGTTCTCCTTTAATTGTGCACCTTGGATGCGTTGCCACATTCAGTGTCATTTTTATCATGTCTGCTGTATCAGTTACACTGCATAGCTATATCATTGCATTTCAGTGTGTTACGCTGTATTTCTAGCTACAAGTGTAAGATTAGCATTGTTACAGCCTAATCCGTGCATACTTGGCATCTTCCACTTCACCCCTGCTCTTTTCTGTACATTGGTACAGTCTTCTGCTAAAGCCTTCCCCATAATTCCTTTCTACATCACCCCTCGCTGAGATAAGAGGGTCTCTGTTCACCCGTTATAGGGATGCAGCGATACTGTTACTCGCCCAAATGCTCGATGCCTAGCCCGATACTTCCAGTATCAGGAAGCCGGGCAGGGAGTCATTACGAGCTGCCCGGCTTCCCGATTGGCCGGGAAGCCAGCTCCATGCTGTCTCGTCACCTCATGACAAGGGAGCATGGAGCCGGCTTCCTGATTGGCCAGAAAGCCGCCTCCATGCTTTCTCGTCGCCTAGTGACGAGAACCATGGGGACGGCTTCCCTGCTAATCATTAAGCCAGGTGGCGAGTCATTACATGTCGCCTGGCTTCCTTAATGGTGCTTCCAGTATCGGTATTCAGTATTGGCGAGTACCCCAAAAAAATAAAATCAGTACTCGATACCGAAATACCGGTTTAGGTGCATCCCTACTGCTAATGGCAAAGATAGGAATGTCTTTTCACTCTAAGAATGACAAAGAATCACATCCTCTGTATTGAGAAGGCAAATAAACTACATTGGATTCTTCTTATCAAGTTGGACAATATCTGTGAATATCACCAAGTCAGTAAGTTGTCATACTGTCCGTACAGATGAGTCTCAGGAAAGCATGTGCAAATACATAAAGTGGTGATTGTAACAGAATATTGGATAATAAATGTGACAGCAGGAATCTCGTGGTGTCTGCTGCTGGGCAGTTCTTTTCATTTTAAAGCTGAACTCCGGGAAAATTAAAAGTTTAAAAAAAAACAAAAAAAAACCCTTGCGCTGGTTCTTCCCTCGCACTGCAAGGGTTAAATGCTCATTTTTGCCTAGGGTATCAGTTAAAAACACCTTACCCCATGCTCCGCCAGGCCCCTCCTTCCAAGCCACTGGTCCCCCAAAAGGTGGTTGCAGCTGTAATGTCATCCCGTACAATGCAAGACCATCAGTCCTGCATTGTCAGCGAAGACAGCAAGGGTCCATCCACAAATCGGAGTGCCGGCTGTCGGGAAGTGAGGCCTAAAGTAAGTAAAACTGCTTTTTACTGATGCCCTGGACAAAAGTGCGGGGGGTTGGGGAGGGAGTCCCAATGCAAGGGTAGCTTGTTCATATTCTCTGAGTTTGCCTTTAAAACAGAGTTAAAATTTGCTTATTTGCTCAGAACTTATAATGCATATTGAGAAGGAACATGAAACCACACAAGCAAGACAGAAATAAAATATGTGCCATTTAAAACCATTTACTGCTCCTCCTGGAATCCGATTGGTTGCTGTGATGAATGCACTTTGGTGAATTGGATGGGAGGATAGTCTACCTTTGCTCCATACAAGTCACAATATTTCATAACCAGTTCCGCCGATTTCTTCACTGTAATGCCGGTGGTGTCGCACTGAAAGACGCAGTTCTCCAGCTCGGTCTTCCCTCCGAGGACACCTAAAATCAGAAGGCGGAGAAACGTCAATGAGAGAATGCAGAGAGCTGATAATTAGGCAGCTGTCCTCATCAAGAGCGACGAGCAGTGAAACAATCTACTTAAACCTATTGCGGTTTACCTTGCGACTTGGGTTAAATGTGATGCAGACATGTGATTAAAGCTAAACTCCAGAAAGGTATAAAATACACCAATACGGCTCTGTTCTCATTACATCGGAGAAGGTTTTTTTGGGAATGTAAACAGTACATAATATATCAGTCTTTTGCAATCTATTGTACGGCAGAGCCTGGGAAAGGAAGATGAGGCACAGGGAATTAACCAGTGGTGCTTCAGTGCTCATGTGCAAACAAGGAGCATGCCGATAGGAAGAGAGTAGGGCTGCATCCAACTAATCGACAATAAAATCGCTAATGAGAATAGTTGTCAACTACTCATTATCGATTAGTTGGTTGGATCCCCTAGCTCTCTCCTCCACACCGTGAGGACACAGTAAGCAGTGGGTGCAATAGCCAGCCTGCTATTGGCCATTTCAAATTGCGATGGCCAATAACAAGCTGGCTATTGAACCCGCCCACTGCTGCTGTATTTACATTCTGCAGAATCTTGCCACTGGCAGCTGTCATTCCTCGGCTGAAGCTATTCAAACGCCATGTGCTTACAATACAATAATTTAAAAAATATATATAAGAAGGTGGGAGAAAGTCATTTTCGGGTTCAGCCTGACATTCTGCTGCGGGAGCTGCGTTGCAGTGCCATTCATTTCAATGGCACCCCAAACGTGCCTCCCACACTGGAACTTACAGTACTGCAATGCCATGCGTTCCAGTGCAACTGCTAAAAATTGTGCATGCAGTTTTAGTCTGAAGTAAACTTTATGCTTGTAACACGGCATTTGTGTATTTTATGGTATTTCATTTTTGCTATCAGATTAAAATCGAGAAAAATAAATCTGACAACTAATCGATTATAAATATATAATCAGTTGCAGCTGCAGAAGAGAGCAAATTAAATTCAATCTGCTGCTTTGCCCCATGAGGTCTATTAATGGCAGCAGATACAGCAGCACACTTACTGACAATCCCTTCCACGGCATTGTGCTGGATGAGCTTCACATTGGAAATTTTCACACTGGGACCGCAACATTCCACAAACTTGTCTCCTTTCCCTTTCTTCTCGATAATAATGTCATCTGGCATCCCATAACCTGAAAACGAAATCAATGAAGGACATAGGAAGTCAAGCATTTGAAGTTTTTTTCTTTTTTACTTCCACCGCTCCAAGCTTGCTAGTAGTCCTATCACTGGAGCCATTTTTTAAACTTTATTTTATTGTTTATCCGATTAACCGATTAATCGAACTTAATAATCGGCTAACTAATCGATTTTGAAAATAATCGTTAGCTGCAGCTCTAATGTGGAGCATTAGAAAGTGGAGAGCGCCACAAATCAAGCATTCAGTCCAATAAGAATTCTCACACGCACTCCATAAGCCAGTGCGTTTTGGGGGCTCAAAATTCTTCCCTCATTAGGGGGGCAGCACGTTCAGATTTGTTCTGCTTGTTCAGACCAGTCATGTCAACCACTTACAAAGCCATCCACAACTCTGCCCCCGGCTATATCTCAAACCTGGTCTCAATCACCCTAACTGTCCCCTCCGCTCTTCAAAAGACTTCTTTCCAGCTCCCTCGTCATCTCCTCCCATGCTCGCCTCCAGGACTTCACTAGAGTCTCTCCCATCCTATGGAACTCTTTACCCCAACCTCTCCGACTATCTCCCACCTCTGAGTGCCTTTAGGCCATCCCTTAAGACTCATCTCTTCAGGGCCATCCTATCCCACCTCAAACTAACCACTGAGCCATCACTTTCGCAAACAATTCATCCCCGCACAGCTACCTCCTCATGTTTCACCGGCCCCTCCCTTTTAGATTTTAAGCCCTCAGGGGCAGGGACCTCCTTACCATCTTGTCTTGAATTGTATTGTAATGTCCTCCTTATATTGTAAAGCGCTGCGCAAACTGTAGGCGCTCTATAAATCCTTAATAATAATAATAATAATAATAATAGCTTCATGGCAGCAGCCTTGGACCATAACCAGGTCTGCACACCGTCATTGCAGGTTACCTCCCACAAGGTGTACACAAGCAATTTTTGCAGATTCACCTCAAAACCGACTCCTACTGGTCCAGCGCTACCACATATTAATATGTTCAGCATTCAGATACATGCCTTAACATGGGCACAGAAATTAGCCAATGGGAAAGTGCACCGAAATGTGTCCCTGTACACAGCACCAGTGTCTATTCCTGCAATCTCCGCTGCTGTATCTGAACTTCATCTCTATTTACCCAGAGAGCTAAACAGAGCCAGGTATTCATGCAGCAAAGCCAAACCAGCTCTAGACTGAGAAACTGCACCCTGGTTACTGGTCCAGACAGCAAAATCCATACAGAAAAACTGAGATTACCTTCTATATGCACAGAGTCCGCAATGCAGATTTGGCTGTATATGTTATAATGCCCAGGACAAATCAGGACCAGATCCCCATCATAGCACACATTCACTGCCTCCAGGAGATCTTTGTGGAACTGCAAGACAAAACATTTTTATAATAATAATAATAGTAATAAATACAGAAAGATCCCTTAAAAGAACCGGTGCGATTTATTATTGGCATTTATAAAGCACCGACAATTTACACATCAGTCCCCTACCCTCAAGGAGCTTACAATCTAAGGTCCCTGTATCACATGCATACATACAGGGACAATTTAGAGAGGAGCCAATTAACCTTCCAGCATGTCTTTGGAGTGTGGGAGGAAACCAGAGTACTCGGAGGAAACCCACGCAAGCACAGGGAGAACATGCAAACTCCTTGCAGATAGTGACCCGGCCAGGATTTGAACCGGGGACCTCCAGTGCTGCAAGGCAGAAGCGCTAACCACTACGCCACTGTCCTGCCATGTGATTAAATCAATAACAGATCCACCTGTTGTCTGCCACCTCTCCCACTGCACAAAACCAGAGTAGAAAATTGCAACCCACGGCAATTCTAGCTTTACTAATCTCTATTAGAACATTAAACTGGGAGGTGATGGGTAAACCCGGAGGCTTAGAAGACTGTATGAAGCACTTTGCACATAAGAAGAAAAAGGACAGTAGAAGTTAGATCAGTTGAATTTTTTTTTTGCTGGCGTCCATTCTTTCTGTAACCTGCAGTATAAACCAAGTCTCTGGATTCCTGTGAGCCTCAATGGATGAGAATGAAAAAAAAGGTGCACGTTTCCTAATCCTATTATTAAAACAATTCCAAATACAAAACTCTTAGAGCTTGGAGAACCCGGGAATAGGAAGCGTTTTACACAAGTGACAACTCGTAAAGTTTTTTGTATAGGGGATTTGCACTAACCTGGATCTCCTGGTTTTGGTTACAGGACTCCGGCTCTAGTCGCTCTCTAGTCAGACAGGTCAAGGTGTCAATTGTCATACTTGTGGACACAACATGAATGACTCTTCCACCTGCGGGACGGGGGCCCTTTTTTTTCAGGCTGTATGTTCCAGGGCTCTTCTGACAACAGAACAGGTACCTGCAACAAAAATAGAAATAAAAGGGAACACCACCCACAAAAAGTGTACGTCAGAGGCAGGGGCAACCATTTTGTTGCCAAATACAATGGGCCATCAATTCCACTCCAATGACGGTGCTATACCTCAGCAAGGGGTTCTCAATCAGTTTTAGCTTCCTTTTCAGATTCTCCATCTCACCGTCCATCTTCATTCCTTCCACCATGGACACATTATCCAGCTCTGTGTCAGAGTCGCTGTTGGATAACACATTTCGGAGATTGTTGAACTGAGAGTAGACCTGCGTACAGTGTGCCAGAATGGCGTTATACTCAGATACCAGCTCGGATGGAATGCGCTCTTCCAGAATGTCATAAAACCTGCAACAAACAATGTGATTGTATTAAATACCACTGTGATGGGCAATGGTGTGTTGTCCAGCAACCAATACAAACCAATAAAAAGGGGAAATCTAATTGGTGTGCAATTTGTTAAAGCTAAAATTCAGGCTGAACATACATTGCCTAAATAAAAGCTCAATCTGCACTAGGGATGCACCGATACCGGTATTTCGGTATCGAATACCGATATTGTTTTTTTTCAGTACTCGCCGATACCGGAAATCCCATTCAGGAAGCGTGTAATGACTCGCCACCCGGCTTACCGATTAGCAGGGAAGACATCCCCATGCTTCTCGTCACTAGATGACAAGAAAGCATGGAGCCAGCTTTCTGGCCAATCGGGAAGCCGGACGCAGTGTTATGACATGGCACCTGGCCTCCTGATTGGCCATGAAGCCGGCTCCATGCTCTCTCGTCATGAGGTGACTATAGGAGGTCATTACACGCTGCCCGGGCTTCCTAATTGGCAGGAAAGCCAGCTTCATGCTCTCTCATCACAAGTGACGAGGCAGCATGGAGCCGACTTCCGGCCAATCAGGACGCCTGGCAGCATGTAATGACACGCTGCCCGGCTTCCTAATACCGGAAGTATCGGGCTAGGCATCTGAGCATTTGGGCGAGTAAGAGTACTCGCCCAAATACTCGGCATCGATACTAGTATTGGTACCGGGTGCATCCCTAACGTGTACCATTACGTGAATCTTGGTATCTATTGTGTATTTCCCCCAGGTCTGGTCTGCCCCCATCCTGTTTAGATCCCCTATTAAATGGCTCTGTGCATTCTATCCTCCACACCTCTCCCACAGCACTTACAAGCGTAATCGTGGCTCGGCACATCTTGTAAAGTAATCAAAATAATCCTCCTCTTCTTCATCCCAGGGCCGCCAGATGTGTTGGAAGAAGAACCTAAAAGAGAGGAAAGTTCCAGCAGGTCATAGGTGCTCCCAACTTCTCTACCACAGCAGACAAGATGGAGGAACATATACTCAATCACATCAAGCTCGATCAACAAAATGTGGTTTCTCTCCAAAGCTCAGTCCTAAATGTTTAAAAAGGTGAAGTTCACTTGTTGCATTTTGCTTTCCTATGCAGGCAGATCATGGCTGGGGGGAGAGGCAGGCACTGTGCTCTATATACAGCAACTTCCTGATAATATCACAGCACCCGCCTCAGTACTCAACAACCCTCAGACCTGATGGAAGAAGTAAGCCGACTCTTGGGTGGAGTTTGTAAGTATCAAAATGCCTTGATGGATGGTTTTAGGTCTGGAGGATTGGGTGCTCCTAGGTAGGCTGCATTTACATACAGACCACCCTGGTAAAGCCCACATGTGATGCTGAGCATCCATGATGGAAATAACTGAAATCCAATGGATGAAAGGCCAGGGACAGTAAAGCTGGGGAGGAAAGGGTTACATGAAACTGGATGTCCTCCAGGTCAGGAAATGAGGCGAGCTCCATTTGACTTGCTGCACCTTCTAGTGCCCATTGGGAGCTCAGTGTGCAGAGTAAGACATTTTAGTAAAGGAGTCGGTACAACTGTGAAGACAAAAAGGAAGGCCTGAGTTCAGCTTTAAGCCCAAGTAGCAGTAAATGAGAGGTCACATGGCCCGCAAAAACTGTTAAAGAGACCACATGATCTATTCCACTTCCTTCTGAGAAGCAAGCCAAAGAACTATAAAAAGATAATGGAGTGCTGACACAAGTCAGTACACAGAGCTCAGACTGCTTTTCAACACTGTGGCCCCGTCTGCTGCCCAGCAGACAGTACATCCTTACCAAGGATAAGATGCTGAATAGTCTGGACCAGACACCCCCCCACACCACCTCCATTACACTAACCTGACATGTTCAATAGACATGGCGGTCTGGTCATATTCTCCTGAATCATCAAAGACCACATAAAGCTCCTGTAGGGGGACCCTCTGCTCCTTCACTTCCAGCAGGTCGCGGATGCTCTGCTCGGTGACGCACTCCATGCGATACTCGCACGTGAACGGTTCACACGGCTTGACAACAGCCTTTAAATTGGAGCAGGACACATCGGTCACCTATATAAAACAAAGAATTCAGAGTATATTTTCAGGTTACATCAAAAACACCCATCTGCTCATGCCATGTTTGGTCTCCACTTGTCTTTGAACTTCAAAACCATCAGCTTAGCAGACACAAAAAAACAGAAATGGAGTCAAGGGATGGATACACAAAATATATTGTATAAATCTATTCTGCCCCATTTGTTTAATGCAGCAAGGAATTGCATACCCGAACTTTGGAAACAGACCAAACCCACTTCGATATCTCGATAGCTGAATAAGTGAAATTGAGCGTATAGAGGAGCAGGGATGTCCAAACTCCGGCCCTCCAGCTGCGGTGAAAGTACAAATCCCATGAAGCATCTCTGGGGGTCATGTCTGTGGCTGTGAGAATCTCGAAAAAAGCCTCAGGGGATTCGTAGTTCCACCACAGCTGGAGGGTCGCAGTTTGGACATCCCTGGTATAGAGGATCTCATCTCCTTTGATAAAGACACACATGATAAACACTGCCTTAAAAATTGTATTTCTGGCAAGAATTCATTCTCTCATCTGAATGAGACACTGCTGAGCCATTTGACATTCCCCCATAGGATGGGCCCTTGGGTGGGGCAGAGGGAACCCCTTTCTCTTCCCCTTTGCCTTCTTGTCCGACTTTCCGATCTCTTTATCTATTTGTTTGACATTGTAGACTTCTCTTCTCTTTCTTGCTCCGCTCCTCTTCCCACACAATCGGAGTTTCATCTATGCCCCTGTAGGCCACGGCCAAATATTTTTACGTTATGAAAACTGTATTGCACTATATGGTCATACCCATCGAGCTAGCTTAATGTTTCCATTGTGGAGGCTGCTTTTGGGATCTTCACAGGAGGAGGTGATTTTCCAAGCTGTTTTCTATGCTATTTTGCTTATGTATACTTTTGTTTTTGGCTCTTTTTGTGAACTACGGTATTTGCCGGCGTATAAGACGAGTTTTTAGACTTAAAACCATCCCCCGAAAATCAGGGGTCGTCTTATACGCCGGGTATGGATGTGCGGTAATACTGTATGTACGGTAGCTTCAGCTACATACAGTATACCGCGCTGAGCCAATCACCACAGGCTTTGTATTAGTGAATACAAAGCCTGTATTCATTAATACAAAGTCTGCCATGATTGGCTCAGCGCGGTATACTGTATGTAGCCGAAGCCCGTTACCCTAAGCTCAGTATACCGCGAGCTACAGCACGAGGTATTACTGAGACGCCGCAGCGGATCCCGACATCGACGTCGAGATCCGCCCAGCTGCATGAGTGACAGCTGGCTCTGCCTATCTAGAGGCAGAGCCAGCTGTACCCGCCACCTCCCCGTCTGTTCCGCCAGTCAGCGCTGGCGGATCGGAGCGTGGAGGGGGAAATCCAGCCCCTCCCCTGTCACGGCAGAGAGCCATGACAGGATCGAGAGGTGAGCAAACCCGGTATGTGTTCGCTCACCTCCCGATCTACTGAGCCGACCTGTGACAGTCTCATTGTCACAGGTCGGCTAGAACTATGAGGTGAGTGGAAATCACTCATCTCGTAGTTCTCCTTTAAACATTTTGGGCTATACTCGTCTTATACGATGAGTATAGCCCAAAACTTGTGTTTTAACAGAAAAAGTAGGGGGTCGTCTTATACGGCGGCAAATACGGTATTACTGAAAATGTTTTGTTCTTAAAATAAAGAATTTATAAAAAATAAAAATATACGCTGTATACCTCTACAAGAACCTCAAAGATGTCCGTGCGCCAAACAGCCCTCCAGCCGGAAGGTTCCAGAGCCTTTTCCAAGTATTCCGATATAAACTCCATCACTTCGGAGGGTTTCCCATCTCCTGTGAAGGGAACAAACATAAAAATTATTAGAGGACACCTGGAGGGGAAAAAAAAAAAAAAAAACAAGATATTGTGGGGACGGGGCAGAATTAAAGGAACTTTCTGTTTTCTTCTGTTTCTGTGTGCCATCTGTCACCTGGACAGGAAGTGAGGGAAATAAATATTTTTCACCTTACTATTAAACCTGGATTAGGAGAGGATACAGGACGCCATGAGGAGCTTTGCTGCAGGAAATGGAGACAAGGAAGCTCAGGAACGTGTACTCACCCAGGAGATAATCCTTGTATGCCTCAAACCTCTCATAGAAGAGGAGATTATTTGTTTGGAATAAGTCGGGGAACTGGACGTTTCCCGCTAAAACACGACACGGCGACACCCGGCCCAGTTTTTTGTGGCTCCCGTAGTCGCTGTCCTCATCTTCCGGGAACAAGACTGGAGGCAAAGAGCAAGAAAGTTATACAACACGTCCCGGAAACAGATTGAGACATTCACATACACCATCCTAAAGGCTGATGGGGTTTTCTGAGGGGGCTAAGCCTGCATTTGTGGGGACAGCTCAGTCCTACAAGCAGGAGGTCAGCAGAATGTCAAATAAAATGTCAGCCTCCATTTTTTTGGACACCTGTCAGCCGTTTAACAGGTTTAGGACAACAGGAGGCAAGCTTACCGATCATGTGATTGGTGGTCACATGGGTCGGAACCATTTGCCTGATGAAGGGACCCTGTGTGGTCCCGAAAGCGCTTGTTCGTATGACAAAGAACTTCAATAAATGAAGCTTTTGCTATCCTATAAAGACTGGTGTGCTGGTGACATTTTTTTATAATTCTGCTGATATTCGCGCCGCCATCAGCAGTCACTGCGAGCACCCCCCACTACAAGGGACATTTCGGTAAGGAGTGCAGCAAGGATAGTAATTATTTTATGGATCGGAACCTGTCACACTGGCCCCTGATCGGAAACAGCGACCGGGAGCTGTCAGTGACCACTTGGTCACTCTGCTGGGAGCGCGCTCTCAGCACAAAACAACGACCTGGCTGACGCATATATCTGGTCAGCTGGCATTGGGGCCCACCCACTGGGGTCATATATGAATTATGCCGGCGGGACAGTGTTCTCCACTATTACCAGTCTCCCAACCCCCGGCCCAGCACCACACAGCCTTTCCAATGAAAACATCCCAGTCGGGTCCTTTCATGCTACACATGTGCTGCAAGCATCTATAATTAGGGGTACTCCTAGGAATGGCTGGAGGCCACAATGAGTATAGCTCATTCATTGGATGAGGTGAACACGTACAGTAGTAAAGCAGGGAATACGTGGGATGAATTTCATCTGGTTCCTGATGGAACCCAGCGGACCGCAATCAGCCAATCAAATGAGTTGGTTGGAAAATTCTCAACCAAGCAGAGATAGCAGCCAATCAGCTACTAGTTCCATTTGGGTATTTTGACAGCAAGGAACTGAACACTCGTAAGGGAGGGGAGGAGGAGGAAAGGGAGGGGAGGAGGAGGAAAGGGAGGGGAGGAGAAGGAGGAGGAGGAAAGGGTATTTTTTTTTTTAATAAAAAAAATCATGCAACTAATCGATTATGAAAATATTCGTTAGCTGCAGCCCTAATGTGTACACCCGGCTGGGACGTTTCATTGAGAAGGCTGCGCTGCACAGTGGATGTTGCCGAGAGGAGGAGACAGACACGGTACCGGGTGGGCTGCGCGGATTACATAAAGTGCATTTGTCCTTTCATTCAAAAAACAACAAAAACACAATTTTATAAAGTTCTCTATAAACCGCTCAGACACGTCCAGCCCATCTCCTCTCCTCCACAAGAACAGAGAACAATCTGAAGAACTCGGCGCTGCCCCCCCCGGGCTTCCTATCCCATCAGCACATTCTGAGCATTCTGCAGGTGGAGATTACAGACCCCTGAAGGTACAGAGAACGGCGGCCGTTACGTGTCAGACAAATGTGTGTATAGAGCTGAACGCAGAGCGTGCTAGGTGTGTGCCGCACCACAGCACAGGGGGCTCTCCGCACTCACAATGACAGGAGGGCCGGCCCACCCCCCCAAACAAACAATGACAGGAGGTCCGGCCCACCCCCCCAAACAAACAATGACAGGAGGG